AGTTGGAGAGCCTGGCGCTAATCGATGCTCGAAACAAATTTTAAAACCTCAGAAATTATCCTGGGCTTCTACATCTCCGAAATTTTGAGAAAAGGGGCGTGGTCACGCACTTGAAAATTTTTCTTACATAGATGTTTTGGGTTTTTGATTTCAAAGATTCTTTGGGTCATGCACAAGTGGAACAATTCATACGCTCATCAAAAAAATTCATTAAAAAACTCATTGAAACAATCCCAAAAATTCGCTTTTGCCTGGTCTGCCGTTGCTCGTTAGTTGTTATTTTTTTAGATGGACCGACTGCTCACTGGTACTTCTCAGACAGTTGTTGAGAAATGAAGAAGTAAGCCAGATGGAATTCTCCATTAGTAGACACTTCTTATTTACCACTTTAGATTACCAAGGACGGTAATGTGGTGAAGAGCGATGAGTTTGTAAGGGTTCTTCTTTACGAATGGATGATACAAGCTGCAACTTTTGATGTGTTTGGAGCCGTTGTGACGGTTGTCCAGTTAGTTTTTAGGAAACAGTATCATGGCTACGTCCTACCGTTGCAGAAATCTGTCGATGAGTGACTTAATAGAAAAATTTCTGGATGAACAAGCATCTGAAGATATATTGATAGAAGACAGACGTCCTGTTCTCACGTGGAAATGTATCAACCTAATGAGGGTGGTCGATAACAAAAGGTTATTGCTCGATTTTTCCTCCTCTTTCTTCTCGACTATTTTTTTCTGCGATGCACACACCCGTCATTGCCGTTTGGACTATGGAGAATGGACGAAATGCTATAGCATAATTTCAGGCTGGTTCGCGTCTTGCGCGAAGTTATAACGGCATGGCCGAAGAAAAAGTGCGCTCAGCCAGCATCAGAGTTGATGTCTAGTGTACATGAGATGGTTAAAATAGCACAAAACCATCAGAATATCGGAAAGGCTTGCGCTGGATTGTTGAAGGTCAGAAGTCTCACTAAAACTTCTTATGCTTTTCTCGACTCTACTACCTTCATAGCTGATACCTAAACATTTTTCAGTCCGATCCTGGTGCAATCATGTGCAGCGAATTTGGCTTTCTCTTGGTTTTTGCTTTGTGCAGCATTGATAGATATAAAGTAAGTATTTATACTTTTGTGCGAGTTCAACCTATGTCGATGAAGTGTTTTAGGCTGCCACTATCTCGGAGCTTATCAAGGTCTTCCAAAGGCTGTGGAACTTCCGTGAAAATGTACAGGAATTCGGCTGGATTGAGGGCAGTGGACTCGGTGAAGTAGTGAATGTGGTTGAAGATCAGGTTAGTTTGCAATGCTTGTAACGTGTACTATGCATTTGATGTTGTCGTCAGGTCAACTGCCTCGTGCAACGGCTGGGTGAAGATGTGGAAGCGTGGGAATTACTCTCAAACCCGACTGTCACTCTGATGCAGTCGTTACTTCGTCTTCCATCAGCTAAGGAAGTGACTATAGTGGACGGCAGAGTTGCCGATGGCTGTCCCATGTGGTTGTTTGCAAGAAATGTCCTTACCAAGGTAATACATCATATCATGCGGATTTTTAGAGTCGGAGTTGACGCCTTTAGGTGATTGTGTCAAAAAGAAAAGAAATGGCCACCCATTTGTCGATGGTCATCGAATCTGTTACAACTTCTTCACCAAGTGTGGCTCTAATTTATGTCGGTGGGTATCTTCTGCTCATGGAGTTGCAGCGGCTCAAGAAATTTTTTTCGCTTCCTAATCGTTTTAGAATCCAAAAAAAAAATTAGAACTGTCAAGTAAAAATGAGTCATAGTTGACTGTACAGTTTTATGACTCATGTAGACCACTTTCAAAAATCTCGCGACACGCTGTGATGTGAGAAGGGGAGCGTGGTAGCCATAATAGCTTGCTTGAGTTGATTTTACCCAAAATAAATGGCATCGATTTTCATTTGCAGATATGCTGGTGGAAATTGTGCGAAATTGTACCCTTGATGTGCTAAACAACTGGAAGGAACTAGAGAGCCTCTTCAAGTGCATATGTCAGATAAGACGAGATATATCGGTGTCGCTGGTTAGGTAAGTCGACGTTGCTTTATCTCACACTAGTGAGAACGCGTGAGTTGTCGTTGTACTGTGTGTGACTTATTCTTTTGCTTCTTCTAGGTGTCTTATGCCCGTCATCAACAACAGGTCTCAGCTAAGAGAATTGCTGCTTCAGAGCGTTAAGGTAAGCGAAGATCTGCCTTTAGCTTGGATAAAGGCCGTTTTTGACGGTCTCCAGTCAGGAGCAATTCGTAAATTTGATGAAAAGAGTAGCTCAACTAATACAAAAAAAGCAGCCCCTTTCACCGCTCTTTTCATGTCTCGGTGGGCGGCTCAAGTTTTTTTTTTTTTTCAGGGAAACCTTCTCAACTCTAGAAGCGCAAATGCTGTAATTCCCATCCTCATGCTTCTGTTAAGAAGCTTTAGTAGAAGGCCGAACATGGTGGCTGAATCCCAAATGTCGCAATCATTTGCAACATTTTCGTCGCAGGTTAGCATCAATTTTTTGCACCTTCGAGTGTGTGTAAGCAGTCCGAAAATTCAAGAGTTTACAAGCAATGGGATGCAAACGAA